GAAAGTTGCGCTAAAGAAAATTATATTTTCGTGAAGAAGTCCAAGTCGGGGATATGTTAATTTAGATCAACACCCATATATATCTTTATAAAGCTATATACTGAGCCCTAATACCCTATTCTAAATATTAAAGCCCCTGCGTTGACAAAACTATTTTGGCAGCGAGCGCTCCCGGCTTGGAGGATGTCCTGCCGGCGAATCCGGGGATTCTTCCGGTGATGCACAGTGAACGCCAGAAAGTTGGAACATGGGTTTAGGAGGATTGGTGCTAGAATCCAGAATACTTTACCTTAAGGGCATGAGGATAATCATGGGTTTAGGAGGATTGGTGCTAGAATCCCCTATGCTCTATATTAGGGGCATGAGGAGATGGATGTTCCAACTTTCTGGCTTCTACTATAGGTAGGGGTCGCAATCCTTTGTAATATCGTAATGGGATGTAATGGAGCAGTCTTGTTTCTTAGGGGTTCCTGTTTTCGTGCGCTTTTTGTCATGAAATGCCACCAAAAGCCGTGATAATTGTGTGGGGCTTTATAGTCTCTCGTGTTGCTCCAGTGGGTTTGGGGTTTGCATGGCTTGGAACTGCAAATCCTATTGTTGCGAGCACTACGCCCGAAACCCCAAAACCCTAGGCCCCCAAACCCCAAAACCCTAAACCCCAAAACCCTACACCCCTAAAGCCCTAAACCCCAAAACCCTAAACACCCAAACCCCCAAAACCCAAAACCCCAAAACCCTAAACCCCTAAAGCCCTAAAGCCCCTAAACCCTAAACCCCAAAACCCCAAACCCCCCAAACCCAAAGCCCCTAAACCCCAAACCCTAAACCCCTTAACCCCAAACCCTAAACCCCAAAACCCTAAACCCCAAAACCCTAAACCCCAAAACCCTAAAGCCTAAAGCCTCTAAACCCTAAACCCCAAAACCCTAAACCCCCAAACCCCAAACCCCTATTCCCCTAAACCCTTAAACCCCAATATCCTAAACCCCAAAACCCTAAATCCCAAAACCCTGAGCCCTAAAGCCCTAAACCCTAAACCCCAAAACCCAAAACCCCCAAACCCCAAACCCCTACCCCTAAACCCCTAACCCCTAAACCCTAACCCCCAAGCCCCAAAACCCTAAATCCCCAAAACTCTAAACCCTGGGAAAAAAGCCCCTAAACCCTTATTCCCCTAAACCCTAAACCCCAAAACCGTGTCCTTCCTGGCAATTGGCATCAGCCGATGCAGGCGGCGAACCGACAGCGGCTGCGGGCCCTGGCGCAGGAGTGGTGGTGAGTCCAGCTCAATGTGCTTTTCCTTGGTTTGGGGGTTTAGGGTTCAAAAGGGCGAGAGAAGCCTGCTGCAAAAGGGTTCAAAAGGGTTCAAAGGGTTTAGGGTTTGGGGGTTTAAATTTAGGGTTTAGGGGTTTAGAGGGTTTAGGGTTTAGAGGGTTTAGTGTTTAGAGGGTTTGGGGTTTGATGTTCTGGTTCATGAAGTCTTTCGGCGACGTAATGATGAGCTCGCACATCCCAGCCCATAGTGTTCCACCAGCTGTTGGGACGTCGTGACCTTCATGTAGTAGCTGGAAAGCTGGCTCTAGTCGGCACGGCACATCCACCGCAAGTCCTGTTAAGCTCGTGTATGTGCTTACGTAGTACTTGTTCATGTTGAGGTTCATTTGCTTGTTGATTTGGGTATTTTTGTATTCTTCAGATTTCGTTTACGCTTAGGTCTGATTCCCTCCTCTGCCGCTCTGGTATAACTTTAGAAACTTTAGTAAGATGCATTCCGACATCATCGTCTCATGTCCTATCACTGCATCACTGCGTGGTCCCACACTCCATGCTCGACATTGGAGAAGCGAAGGTCAGAAGGAATGTCGCTAAATCCGAGGTCCCGATCAAAGGGCAAACCGTTACCCGAAGTTCAGGAAGATGAAGGGCGGAGGGTCTGCACACACGATTTCTCGGCCAAACGCCCTCACCTTAAACCCAAACTTCACGCTTGCAGCTCGACCAAATCCTGGACGCATAAAAATCCGACGTATGACAAGGAGCTCGCAAAAAAGCGCGGCAGCCAAGCGGCTGCCCCGGCGGCATCTGCTTGGAAGGCAGCTGAGCGCGTTCGAGCGTTGCGTTTTGGCACTCTTGTGGTGCAGGCCGTTGGGGTTTCGGAAGTTGAAGCCGGAAAGAAAAATCCTTCTGCAGGCACGACTGACGCCAGCCCCTGCAGAGGAGAAAGTTGCTGTGGAGGCGCCCGCGAACTGGTGGTCTCCTCCGTTACAATCAGATCCGTTCAACTGAACCCTAAACTTAAGCCTTGTATACTCTGAACTCTAAACTCCAAACTCCGTGTTTTCTATGCATGGTTGTGTTTATTTTGGTTGGCATGAACGCCCGGACAACCCACTCGCCGCCTCATGTAAATCCTGACGAAGCGTGCCCGAGACAACACCCACCCTGCAAGTTAGGAAGGTTTGCATGCATGCGCTCTTGCAGCCATTTGATAGCATTTCTTCGTCAATGATTTAGGTACACGCTCTATTGAACCCCTTCCCTAAACCCTAAACCCTAAACCCTAAACCCTAAACCGATTCAAGCCGTCTAGCAGGTTGGCAACCAGGGGGATGGGCTCTTGGACGACTTCGTGGCCCGATCGAAGGTGGCTGTCGAGAGCAAGGACATCCAGCGGTTTTGTTTCGTTGAAGCGTTTCCAACAAGGTCGATGTACCCTACTCTACCTTAAGAACCCAAAACCTACTTAGGGTTTATAATAAGAGCTTACAAAAAAGTTTGTTTTGGGTTCTTAAGGTAGTTGTATCTGGAGCAAGAAATGTTTCTTTGACGATCTCTCCGTTGCTGCCTGTGGGGCCTGCGCCGTTTCGCAGGTGGCACCGCCTCGGGGAGTGATAGGTTTCTGGGCTTGGCACTCACGATTTTTAGGGTTTGGGTTTTGAGGTTTCAGGGTTTAGGGTTCCCCGGCCGACTTCCCAAGCCCAGATGCAAAAAGGCTTGAGGGTGCAAGCCAGCTTAGTGGCCTCCTCTGATTTTGCAGCAGGACAGCCCCCAACCGAAGCAGAAGAACGGAGGCGGGCCTCGCGGTAAAATGCAGAGTTCTTTGACTGTTCTTTGAGTTTATAGGGCCTCCTACCGCTGCTTTTGCCACGACGGGTCCTAGTTCGAGTGCAAATGCCACGAGCTACAGTAGTACCTGAGCCAGTGCGAGGTCCCGCTTTGAATTCGGGGAGGGGCAAGCATTCTGTATACTGGTACGGGGTACCCAGCGATGTGACAGCACTGCTGCCCTTCTTCCTCCTTCGGCGCAAGTGCCCTGTTGCCTCGAGCATGAAGGCAAAGCCAAGTCTGTAGGGTTTTTGGTTTCAGTGCTTCCAGTCTTGGAAGTGTAGGAGGCAGAATTGAGCGAACAGCTGCTTGAACAGAGGAGCGAGAGAGAGAGAGAGAGAGAAACAAAAACACAGAGAGAGAGAGAGAGAGAAGAGGAGAGACAGAGGGAGAGAGAACAAGCAAGCTATGATACGAGAATATGCGAGGCAGGATCAGAAAGACAGGTAAGTTATTAATTGCACTGTACGCATGTGCGTGCGTGCGTGCATGCATACGTACGTATGCCCGTACATGCGTACGTACATACACCACACATGCATACAGACATGGATGCATGCATACATACGCACACGCACACGCGCACACGCGGACACGCGCGCACACACACACACACAACAGAGAAACATGCATGCACGCATGCATGCATATAGTGCAGGGTTTTTTACTCGGTTGCAGGCGCAGTAGCCGACGCCGTTGACTCAGCGAAGCTGTTTGCACGCTCGGGGGTAGATCTCCTCAGATGACTGGTGCGTGTGTGTGTGTGTGTGTCTGTGTGTGTGTGTGTGTTTTTATATGGGTTTCGTTACCGGATGCCAGCACTTCATGTATTTCAAGTGATGTGACTAGCTCACTCCGCCTCGGCCCTCACCAACCGTGTGTTGAAGCTTGCACAGGGCTGCTGGGTGGCAGTTTCAGGTACTTTTAGATTTCTTGATGGTGTATATTTTCAAGCCCAAATAATTACTTATACTATTTTGGGGTTCCTTGTTATAGTTGTAGTATAATGGGCCCCAAAACCCTATTCTAAGTATTAAGGCCCCTAAACTACAGAGGTTCACTAACTAGCCAAGCCGCACCAACCCTTCAGTCCTCCAGTCGCGAAGCCCCGGTGACGCTGAGCCCCAGTGTACCCTAAAAAAGCACCCCCCGAAGCCGCACTGTCCCGAATTTAGGGTTTAGGGTTTAGGGTTTAGTGAACTTCTACAAGGAGCGGAGGAAGAAGAAGGTGAAGAAGGAGAAAAGGACGGATGGGTTGAAGAGCTTGGAAGCCTGGAAGCCTTTGATCCCTAGGGGGGAAACCTTACACCGTGACCACTAAATAGCAGGTACGTAGGTGGCTGACTTACTGCCCTGGTGTTTCGACACATTGCAAAACATTGCAAAACCTGCAATGGATCATACTTTACGGAACGCTCTTGTTTACGGGCGAGAGCTCTGAAATTCAGAAGCTTTCGCTTTGCCTGCAAGGAAGCCGTCCCGTCTTACCATAGTAACAGGGACATTGTCATCCTTCGCACATGGATGCTCGACCCCACAGTATGCTGGGGACATGGACGCTATCATCCTTCGGGCCCGTTCCCGAAGTATGCTGGGGACATGGACGCTATCATCCTTCGGGCATGGATGCTCGATCCCACAGTATGCTGGGGACATGGACGTTATCTTCCTTCGGGCATGGATGCATGGTTCCAAAACATAGACAGCAGAAACTACAAGCATCAAGAACAGCAAACGCCTTGGCAAGAAGGTGTTGCCGCAGTTCCAGCATAAAATCCAGACAGAAGAGAAAAACTGCTCGAGTTTTGAACCCGCAAGTGCACATGTTTTGGCAGGGGCAAAGTCGACAAGAAGAGTAAAGCCACACCCTGACAAGAAGCAAGCAAACATTGTGCACCGGAGGCGCATGCGCAAGGCGAAGCAAAATTCAGACGCCGCAAAGGTGAAAAGACACTGAAGGGGTCCGAGCAGCAGGTCAGCCACCCGGCCCTAAACCCTAAACCCTGAACCCCAAGCCCTAAACCCTTCACCCTAGACCCTAAACCCCAAACCCTCAACCTTAAACCCCAGACCCTAAACCCGAAACCCTAAACCCTACACCCTAGACCCCAAACCCTAAACCCCAAACCCTAAACCCCAAACCCTACAACCCAAACCCTAAACCCTAAACCCCAAACCCTAAACCCTACACCCTACACCTTGAACCCCTCGGGCCGAGATCCTTTGGCAGGAGGCGGAAAGAGGCCGAAGCGGGCCCGGAAGAGCAGGTGCTCTGGGCTCTGTTTGGGGGTGGAAGTTTAGGGTTCCGGGGCTTTAGAGGGTCGGTTTCGGGGTTTAATCGGGGTTTAGGGATGTTTAGGGTTATGTGGGTTTAAGGGCTCTATTTTAGTTTGGAGTCGAGGTCTTGGGGTATAGAAATATGTAGCAACGAGCCTCCGAATCTCCTGCGCAGATGCTTGGGGCAAGTTGGGATGCCGCAACGAGCTTGAGTGCTTCTCTATGCACTGCAGTAATATAGGGTTTTTGTACATAGAATAGAGTATTGGGGCCCAGTATACTATAATTACAACCAGGAACCCCCAACATAATTAGTACAGGTAATTATTTCTGGCCGGGTGGGGGTTCTTTTTGGGTATT